AATTTTGGGTAATTTTGTTTTGTTTAATGGTGAACAAGTGTTATTGCTCACTATTGATGTCATTAAGCGAGATTTTGCTTTTACTAGTTCAGATGTTTTCATCGGTGTTTCAATATTTGCTAACTTTGTTTCCATTGAATTAAAATGCATTGATCTATGAATTGGTGTTAGAGTTTGTTTTTGTACATGTTGTGAATGTCTTGGTAGCCAATATGTACGAAGTACATTTGATGCATTAACAGCCATTTCGAACCACACATCATCGGGTGTATCAGAATTGGGCATAAAATTGTGTTCTACATAAAAGAAAATATATTAAACTATTTAAATGTATTACTTTCCACCGGTTGAACCCTTTAGTTTCATACTATCACTCTTTTCGACTGCAATGGAACAAAATTCTCTTCTTCTCGGATAGTACTGATGGATAAAATTTATAAACGAGATATTCATTCGATCAATATCATCGTATCGTGTACGTAGTACTCGTAATGAATCCATAAAAAAATTCCAGTATTTAATACCATCTGTCTTCTTTAAAAATTCATGAAATCGACGCATATCTGACACATTACGTAGTAAAGATGATTGAACATTTTTAAGTGCATCACTTTCACTAACAATTGAATCTGAAAATAATTTTGTTTTGAATGTTACCTCTGTATCTGACACTTGTTTCGTTGAATGACTCTTAACTGATGAAAGAATTAATATTTATCTTATAGGTGAAGAAAAACATTGTACAATTGACCTACATATATTATCACTTTTCATTAATAATAATCCCAGTAGACTTTCCGTATATAAATCGGTTAAAACATAAGGTGACAATCTTAAATCAGTTAACCATTCCAATGCTTTGCTCAAAAGTTGTTGAGACGTCTATAGCAGAGAATCGATACATTTAGCCCTAAGCATTTCTATGTTTTATTACCTGCACCAAAGAGATAAATGGTGGATCAAATTCCCATTTTTTTGTCAATTGTTGATAAAGTGCTCGTTGACCAAAAATCTGCACACATTCACACAAGAAAACATATTATTAGTATACTTTTTTCTGACTTACAGGTAGGGACAGATAAACATTAAAATAATCGACTGTTAATGGTTGCTTTAAAATATCGTCTAGTAAATTTTCTGTATCAGCAAATAACGAAAAACATATTCGATCTAAAACAAAATAAATGACAGACTAAAAAGGATTTCTCAATTTTCTCTCTACCGAACCATAAGTCTGTGATTTTTGCACCATCTGAAGTTTATGTAACATTTTGCTACCCGAATCGATTGATTTGGTGTGTTTTCGAGCTTCTGTAATCTCTGTGTCGCTGGTAGCGTGCGGTCGTCCACGCTTTACCTCAGTTATTTCCAGTTCTCTTAAACTAGCATCTATCCGAGTTTTCCCCATAGGCGTTTGTTTCTGTTGTAACATTCCATCCTCTCGTATTTCTGCTTTTGATAAACCTCTCACCTGATCATTTAATGTTCGAAAACGTTCGTCAGATAGAAACAAATCCTAAAACGATGACAAGTGAGAAAAGTTAAAGGTATTCTTCACTCTCTTGTCTTGGCAAAATATTTCATTTTGAGTTGAATGTAGCTTGACATAGAGGAAAATCTGGATTCCCAGCGTTCTAAGACCGTTTTTAAAAAAGTTACGAATTTTTTAAGTTTTCTTTTGAAGAGCCGAAAAAACATTACTATCTGCAGTTTTTCATCTTCAAAATTCTTCTTTTTGTGTGAAAAAGAGGAGGAGTATCCTTAATCATCATCACACAGAGTATTTTGTAGATTTAATGTTCATACTCTTTCTTGTTGTTCTATTTGTTGTGGATAACTTGTTGCTGTTAACTCTTTGACTGATTTATCCAATAACATATTAGAATATTCTTCAAGAATATTTGCTGTATCAGCGATAAATAGCGGATATTGTTCGAGAACATTATTTTTCAAAAGATTTTGGTCAGCTAGTATTTCGCGCAGTTGTTTACTTGTGTTATCAAACCATTTCCAATTTTTCTTGTCTCCAGACATATTTTTTGCCCATTTCCATAGCACTGCGTTATTAGCCATAATTGTCCTTTCAAAAGAAACGTATATTTAAGTCACCTCATTTTATAGAGAAAGTTGGCTTTTTCACTAAATAATAAATTAAAACCTGCTTGACAACAGAAATTAAGGAATATAGATCTAGTACTGATTCTAAACAAACCAAAAATGAAAAAATAGACTGCGTACTTGAATGAATCATGCTAATTGAAGAAACTACGTAACATCTGAATAGAGAATTCACCAAGAATACAGATATATGGAGTTACCTGGCTCTGTTTATCAAGCGATCGATCCGAGAAAGAGACTAGAAGAAGAGTTCTGCTTTGTGAGAATGTGTAGAGGATGGTCTGATGATTGGAATACTTCTTATAGGAATAAAAATCTACTCAGTCTTTTTTACGCGATAACCTACTCTTTAAAGAGTAAGAAGGAACTTTGATTTTGATTTTTTCTTACGTTAATATGATTTGATCCCAGCTATATAATAGACAAAACTGCAAGTTTTCTGGGTTTTTTTGTCCAGACGTTATACAAACCACAAGCGGAGATTAGCAATTTGAGACGTATGATGAAGCAAACTCGACTGAACCATGTTTTAATCATCGATATCGATAAAGAAAGACGCGATACTATGGATATTAGTGGAATATGTTGGCAGTTCGTTTTAGTGGTTTTAGTCACTTTTGAAATAAATGATTTATTTTTATGAGATCAAAAATATTTTTTTAGCTTTTCCTGATTTTTAAGATGTAAACGATAGAGCAGAACCATTCTACTTTGAAATAGACGGGAAAACACGATATCTTTCAAAATAATATATATAATCATCGGCGTGTGATTATAATCATACTTTGATTCGATTTCTTTTCGCGATAATACAAGGCGGCAAAACACTGTCTATGTAACACATACCTCAAGTACGTTAGATCTAAAGCTATTCGAGTAATTGAGTAGTCATAACTACAAGATATCACATGAGAGACATTTCAGCATTTATAGATCTTCCTTTATGCCATGAAAACAAATAAGATTTACTTTTATCAATATATGAGTACGAGCTTAAAAATTGTGAGTAACAGAATTTTATAATAAAATTTAATTTCAGATTAAAAAATACTCAACGTAGATGGAATGTAACAAGGGTCCAAAGTAAGTAAAGTATGCCATAGGTCCAAAAATCAGTTTTTTTCTTATTTAGAAAACTATGGGATCGTTATATAGCAAAATATGGCGACTTTCGAAATCATATTGATGCTATTCGTGCTGATTATCAATGTTATTTAAATTTTCGTATACCATTTTCTTGTCCCTCTGTGGTATAAATTATCCCACTATGGTTTGTTTGTTCTTTTCAACGATTAAACTTTATAATCTCTAGGACCAATGTTCAAAGCAAAAAGTACAAACAAAAATAGCCAAAGCTACACTCGAAACATCATTTTTCAAATACAACAACAGATTACCACCTAAATATTGTAAATATCAACAGCAACACGATAATTTGTCTGATACTGGAATAAGAACAGCATTGATTACAGACAACAATGATCATATTGATATTGCCCAGATAAAGGCAATAATGAGAGCTGAGGTACAAAATCATATGAAATTGATTCTAAAATTTAATTGCCTGTTCTTAATTATAATAGGATTTTCCAGATAATTTATTTTCAACAACATCCGAACGCCGTCCAGTTCTTCTCAAACGTCAAATAGGTGAAAATTATGCTAACTGTATCTCAGCATCATCGTCAACACAGGATGCTCGTAGAAGTAAAACAGATCTACGATCCAGAACAGCACTCTTGAAGCACGATGTTCATGAAGTACTTGTTAGTACAGTTCAACATGATAACAAAACAGCTGCACAACCACCATCAAATAAACACATTAGTTCGGATATCAGTGAATATTCACTGTCTAAGTCACGAAAAAGTATCGTGGAACTATTACCGAGTACTGCTATACGTCCTAGTCAATATCGAGAACTATTTAAAAAATTAAACCGAAATGATGAACATCATAGGATTTCACCAAATGAAACACATTTCAGTTTAACAAAAAATGTTATGACTTCGAAAGTAAACTATTTTAACGTCATCATCTAACCGACTACAACTTCATATTTTTCCAGATCAATAACACTCAACTAAATGATAAAATTCAATCATTTTTGACGTTTTTTCGTTCACTTGACCAAGAACCAGATATGAATCTGAATGAAAACATCATCCAAGCCTTATTTTCTGTTGACAATCATTTATCATCATCAATCTATGTTCCAACAAACGTTCAACGACTATCCGTCGTGCCACAAACAATATTACATTTACCCAAAACAAATAATGATGATGATGTGAGACTATTCACTTTGAGATATGATACATAGACATGTTTTCATCCTCCGTGAATTTTCTAGTATCAGATTGAATCACAATACAAAAGGAAGAAGCATATAGTCAAAGATAAAGTATTTGACACTGCCTCAGCCTCACCGAAATTACATTATTCAACAAAACGACTTAAAAGATCAACAAAATTAGAAAGCTTGAAGACAGTTGCATATGGTAATGAATTTTCTTTTCAAGACACCGAACTAGTACGTGTTTTATGTTGTCTATGATTAATATTCTAATATTTGAGTGTATATAATTAATTTTAGAATGCAAAATTATCTACGGCCTATAGCGTTAAAGCATTCAAAGACTATCTTATTCAACGTTCAGCCCGTTTACCAAAGGTTTCTTTATTTCTCTGACAATATTTTGTAAAACATATATAAGCGTGTTGTCGTTTTAGCTATTTAATGATATCGAACGCTGACATGCTGAGTCAGGTCATTGTACAAGTGATGAATATACGAAATATGAATATGAAGATTTGTCGATTCGATACCACAATATTAATTGACTGTTTTGTCCTGCCATGTATTTACACGTTTTCAACTGATAATTTTCTCATACTTTTTAATGTCATCAGCTGCAGTTTGCAAAAGAAGAAACCAGTTTATCTAAACGGAAGCGAGATATAGTAAATAATCTCGAAAATCATCTCTTTCATCAACACAATAAGCAGGAAATCAATCGAATCGGATATACTAGAAGAAAAAACTGACTACTAATTGATCTCGATTTATCAGCTTATATTTCATCTATGACCGTTAAACGAAATTTTACTGGTATTTTTACATCGCCGAACGATTGATGTTTCAATATCAGACCCATTGAATAACGTGATTCTCTAATAATTTCAACACTGAAAAAGAATTCCAGTTTTAAAAACAAATGAGAGTTATTAGGTACTGATCTTAATTAAATTAAACGAAATATCAGCAATTGATTGCTATTTTAAGCTAAATCGAGAGATCATTTCAGTTAAGTCTCCTCCCCTCAGAAATGATGATTTTCGGCCAAAAAAATCGATTTTAACACGTTCACTCTTCATGTATCATACATGATTCCTTTAATTTTTTTCCTTAACCTTTCTCTGCGTCCTTTGAAGTACATATGATATATATTTCAAATCTTTCCTCACACGCTCCTATAGCCAGTTTTTGTGCACATTTCATAACCATAGTTAGTCTAATCTTGCAAATGTATCATATCTGATAAATGAACTCTATAATCAAAAGTTAAATGAATCATATATGATACATGGACAGTGAACGTATTAAGATAAATACATGGAAAAATAGCCTGAAGTGTCCACTTTCAGAATCTGTACCGCTTTCGATCCTAGAAGTGATTTTATATGGTTTTCGAGATAGTTTTCTAGGAACCTCGAAAAACAGGACCTTCAAGTAATAGTTTTTGTAGATTTATAGAGCAACTTTTCTGTTCAATTTAAGATCTCGCACTATTCTGTATGATCCTGCGTCAAAAAGTTACAAGCATTTTCCTACAAGTCCTAAAATGGATCAATCGATGCACAGCGTTTTTTCTACATGGGCGTTACATCTGAAGTTTTTTCCAAGATTTTTTACTATACTTTAAGCTAGAGAGTTTTTGGGTTTGTTTTCGTTACGGAGCGTGATTCGATCCGACATATGCAGATTTACTATATCCTGCAGTCTTAGTGAAACTGTTTGGTAAATAAAAACCGGAAATTATTTTGTAATACGTCAAATCTCTGCAGAAATTTCTCAAGCTCTACAAATAATCAGTGTAGAATTCGTTGATATCCTGCGACAATCTGCATTCGATCTGTGCAGGTTTTTGTGCACAGATTCTTTCACAAATTCTGTCTACATTCTGCAATGGATCTGCAAGTTTCTGTAGGAGATCTCATTCAGATTTTTCGTGCAAGAAACAAAAAAGCTCTCTTATGAAACAATGGTTACCTTTAAACAGTTCATCTTTGAGAAATGAAATTCGAAATGGGGAAGATGCTGCAAGTTGCTGAAAAATACTGTACTAAATAATATTCATCTTTTGGAATGACCAATAATAATAGACAGTAAAAAAAGCTTTTTTTAAATATTTTATTCAGTTTCAATAATAGAAATACAAAAAACGATCTAAAGTAAGTTTTAATATTCATGATCAGTTAAAATGAAATTTAAGTCACACTAACTCGATAATAAACAAACATATTTTTTGTGAAATTATGTGTTAATAAGTGAATTTTTTTTGAATGATACTGAGGCAAAATATGCTTTAATTGCCTGTATTCCTTTTACGCAAATATTTAATGGAGGACTGACTAATGGATTACCGGCTATATTTGATGACAAAGGATACATATCCCAATCGAGACGTTTCAATTGTCCAAATTGTTTTGGTAAACGTTTTATTTCATTATCACCTAACCATAAGGTTGTTAAATAAATAAAATCACATATGGTATCAGGTAAAATCTCTATTTTATTTGAAAATAATAATAACGTTTTCAAATATTTTAGTTTATTTATTGTAACCGGTACTGCGTCGATTCGATTACAACTTAAATCTAGAAATTTTAACGATTCTATTTGAACTAAAACTAATGGAAATACTTCAAAATAATTACTAGCCAAATGAATACTTTCTAATTTAGTTAATTTTTTTAATGTCATTGGTAAAGTATTCAATTTATTACATGTGACAGTAAGACATTCCAAATTTTTTAATTCACCCACTTCACTCGGTAGATTACTAATTGCATTTGTATCTAAATTCAATATTCTTAGACGAAATAAGTATGAAATTTCTCTTGGTAAATGATCTATGCGATATTCCAAACCACTTGTCCACTCTGTACATAAATCAAGAATCTCCAATTCAAATAAACCAAATATCTCTAGAATATCAACAAAAACTAGAATGTATGTATATTAGTTTGAAAGATGTAAAAAGGGTTAATTCATATTACACAAGAACATTTCCTATCAGGGCTGACCGAGTCCGTGGGAATATCAAGTCCGATAATTTTTTCAAACCTTTTTGGCTGTCGTTATCCATATTTCTCTTCTCCTATGTCGTGCAAGATATCAATCGTATTAGAACAGAAAAAGTGACGTAAGTAAACTTCTGTTGCATTGCATATTCCATACTGATATTGAAGAACTGAAAATTTTCCTGTTCATTTATGTAAGAACGTGAATCGATTGGTCTCGAAACACAAAAACTCAAGTCCGAGTCTTTCAAGAAAATCTCTAGTCCGGACTCGACCAGCCCTGTTTCCTCTATGCTAAAATGTATTTGACTGTACACATCAAACATAAATGGCTTGTGAAGTGAACAGAATCAAATCTATTTTACTATCGATTATTATGAAAATTATAACTATGAAAGAATATATAATAGAAGAGATATTTCATACAAACAGAATGATAAGACTATTATTTTACTATATAGAAAGTATTTTTATTTATCTTTTCTATTGAGAAATTCGCGTAGGCCGTTTGAATTACAATATGACGCGATGGGAACACATCTCAGGAATACTGACCAAAACAAGTTCGTTTTTAACGAGAAATTAATTTTTTCGTTCTCTCGATTACCAGAAAAGCAATCAATATTCATTATTTGACCTGCCGAACACCAAGTTTTCTTGAAAATTTCATGTTTATAATAACGGTATCCAAAAAATTCTGTTATGTGTCGATCTCAGAGATGGGCAAGTCCAAGTCCGGACTGGGAGACTTTTTCACACGGACTGGGACTGAAGGTGTAAGAGACTTGGACTGGACTGGGACTGAAGACATAAGAGATGAAGACCTGTTTTTGGCAGATTTTTTTCACGTTTTTGACTGAACGTTTCAATTTAAATTTGAAAAAAGATGAAAAAAATAAAGAAATTGAATTCATTCTTTTATCTTTTTCGTGTCACCGCGTAGTCGGTTAAGATTAGCTCCAATCAGAACTTTTGATCAGAGTTACTTATAATCAAAAAAAATCTCTTTTTTTCCGTTGATTGATTGGTTTCTTTGCACTAAATGCTCGTCTGTCTTCCTGTACTGGACAGTCTAATTTTCAAAGTTACGTTAAGACATAATGGCTTCTAATAAGGATAATTTAACATTAGACAAAAAAGTATTTGAAATGTTTTTTGTTGAGCTTAGCGGACTGAGACTGGAAAATTTAATTCATCACGGACTGGGACTGAAACATTTTAACTGTATAGCGGATTGGGACTGATTCGGACTTAGCCTCTAGTGGACTGAGATTGGAAAAGTACCGGACTTGCCTATCTCTGATCGATTTTCGAAAGTTTATTATATAAACACTGTTTTCGTATTTTATAAAAGAATGTTTCGTACGACAGCATCACGTGTGTGTATCTGCATTAGAGCCATCATCTCATCCATCACCAGCTACCACAAAAATAGTGAGAGATATAAGAAAGAGAAGAACTTGATTATAGTATCATGGAAATGCGAAAACATAAAAACAATAAGTTACAAGAGTGCCTAAAAATCATAAATAAATTCTCTCAGTTGCATGTACATAGGTACAAACCTGGTGGTATTGGTAACACGGATCGGCCACTTAATTTTAGTTTTCTACCACCCCACCGACGATCATCTTCAATTTGTTTGCGATATTTTGTTTTTGCTCTTCTCGCTCTTGCTCGAAACGCTAATGCTTTAAATTTAGAAGCAGCTATTAACACAGTTAAACTACAACCTTTCTCTTTTTGCATATTTGTCTATACAATATCAGGCAGATCTAAACAATATTATCATATATATTGAGTGTGAAAACAGACGAAAGATTAAAATTTTTGTGCACCAGTCCATTAGACTGACAGTTAAGAATAAAATGTTTATGAAAACATTGCCCTATGATCATACCTAATACACAAAGTGTGAGGACGTACTTGGATTTTTTTAGAGAATAATATATGAATTTTAACGTGTACGAGAAAGAGACACTCTTCTAAAAGATTTCAATGAGTGCTTACTTGTTTCAAATGAAAAATAAGAAAATATTTTTGAAATTATTAATTATGAGTTGAGTATGCTTTCCTGAACACAGCATGTGACAACAAATTTAAAATATTAAAGTGTATTTCGACAGACATAAGTTTATTTCTTTTGTTTACAATACGCAGCAGTGTTAATAGCACAACTCTAATTATTACTAACGTTAAACATAATGCAGGATTAAAGTTGTACTGTTACGATATGCATAATATTTGTCATATTTACGACATAAAAAAAGGTTTTTTAAACTTTTTTTCTTCCAACAAAATACATAGAGCAAATATTTCACAAAATGAGATCTTTCAATCATCGCATTATAATAATTTTTTTAGATGCTCTAAGATCAGTTTATAACTGGTAATGTCTACATAACATTAACAGACACTTAAACCTAAAACAACATATCTTTAATGAAAAGAAAACGAACAATACACAAAATAATAATTTAATCCTACAGTAGTTTTCGGAGCAATACAAATCATGCGTACATGGGTATTAATAGTAAATGTCAATACCAAACGGAATCTTCTCTCTTTTTTTATGTTTAGTTATCAATAATACCAGGAAAAGAAAAGCAGTTTGGCAATTTGAAAAGTAAGCTCATTCACACAAAAGTGATTTTGTATTTTAGTGGGAAAAAAATAATTTATTTTGAATAACGAGAAATGTTGAATAAAAGCTCAGTTACAACTTTGAGTCGAGTCGTGTTATTATTTTCCGTGTTTATTATAGGTTTGAATATTTCGTCCTATAGAGTTGCGGTTTTCATCTTTTCGATAGCCAAGATACCGCCGAGTCTTTATGTAACAAACGAGCTTTTCAATAGTTGTTGAAATCCGGTTTTCCAGGGGATCTCTGGAAAACCGAGGCCTAACTCTGAAATTTCAAACATAAATAAATTGATTCTTTTCCATGGATAGATAGCCCAAAGTGTTTCCTACAGAATGAGTGCCATGCGAGACCTTCATTTCTAGTGGTTCATGTGTGGTACCGGATTTCTTTCGAGCCCCAGCACTAGTACTCGGTGACTTCCGATGGTATCGAAAATGCATGAAACATACGTATTCGGTCATGATGAATCTGGTGGTAATACTCGTTTTAGGAAAAGAATTCCAAAATAGGGGTTTATGCTGCGAGTTTCAATGTTAGGCCTCGATTTTCCAGAAATCCCCTGGAAAACCGGAATTCAACAAGTCTTGAAAAGCTCGTTTGTTACATAACGATTCGGCGATATCTTGACTATCGAAAATATGAAAATCGCAACTCTCTAGCTATTGTCAATCAAAAGTTATCTAAAAAAATGGCTTTTGTGGGCATATGGTAATAAATCGTTTAGACGTCTAATATATCTAAAAATCGGTTAAAATAACTGCTAACTAGTAAATTTTTGAGAAAGCAAGTAGGGGATTTTATAGCGCTTGAAAATCTCTATCAAATGATATATTACTTTACGATCATCAAGCAATCAGTAACTTACAAATAAAAGTGTAATGTACTAGAGTGAGTTTAATCCGTGTTGATTAGCACTTATTAATTATAATCTCATACCCTAAAAAGTAATAGTCAAAATCGGTTTAAAATTTTTTTAATGAAACTATAAACATAGATCATCGGCTCTCAAGCTACGCAAGAACGACGCTTCTACGATTATTTTTGATCGAACTGCAAGTTTTCCAAAAGGGGGACTAGCAATTCAAATTTTAATTAGAATTTAAACTTAATTAATTAATAACACTGTCAATAGTTGACTAAATTTGGTTTTATTCTATAGGCATACCATTGAAGGTGTCGTTCACAAACCAGCCAAGTTTGAGGGTATGTTTAGAGAGAGGACACCCCCCCCCCCTTCCTTAAATATTCTTCTGTTAGGTTGTAGACTAAATACACGTTACTCACGTAAAATAGTTATGCATGTCTCCTCATGAAATTTCTAGTGCTTATTATCAGGCCTTGTTGTAGAACTGTTTGACACAGATTCAAAAACCTATCAACGTAGGAATCTTAACGTATTGTCTTCACAGGAAATGCTGAACGCTGAAATCGATACAAAAAACGAGTGTACTTTCAGAGAAATCTTTTAGACGTGTAAAATATTGAAAAATTCAATAAAAATCCTTTCTAAATAGGTCTGTGTACTTTTCAAATCTTTAATTTTTATTCGCATCTTTCTCTCACTATTGACCGTTAGCTAATTGAAAATCATTCTATCCAAACCAAACACATATGCTTTATCTTTAGTTGAA